TACCGTGTGGTCAGGGGTTGAAAAAAAAAAAAAAAAAAAAAAAAAAAAAAAACAACGAAAGTATGGAACGGTTTTCTCATTGAGAAGAACTGCAAGCATGAGGTTCAGCAGCCAGGGAGCTAAATGCAGTACATGAAGCAGACTTTGGACAAAACACAAAGCAGGCCTCTCACACATACACACAAAAAGGACCAATATACAGTACAGGCTTAAGCTTCGTTGAAACTGTTCATTTTTTTTATTTTAATTCACATATCAGTACAACAATTAAAAAAAAAAAACAAACAAACCATGCAGGACATGACACACAGAGCCATGGCTACGAATACATGCCTATACATGCCACAACAGATGAATGATGTTAAGGAAGGAGCTACAAGCTGTTAGTCAAGCCAGCATTTAGGAAGACAGGGGCGGGTGGAAAAACCTGTAGTGCACAGCAGCAACTACAGGGAGAGAGGGCAACGGAGGTGAATGGAGAGCAGGCACTGACGAGTCTGCTGACCTGATGGGGCTTTGCAGGAGCGCCACCTGGAGGCCCCGAACATCCCCTCTTGGGGCTGTAGGGCCTTTCAGGCAAGGGCCTGGGGGTGTAGCATGGGCGGGTAGCTCGCCGTGATCTCCGAGGCGACCTGGGCTTCTCCAGTGGCAGAAAGGAGGAGGATGTGGCTACAGGAGTGATAGACATTGTGTCCTGGCTTTGATTAGAGAGGGGCAGTGTCTGAGGCATGGGAAAATGATGGGACTGAGACTGAGGGTCACGCTCAAAACATGCATCGTCTCTGGGCCACGGGGAGACGGAGAGGCTGATTCGATGGCCAAACACGTCCTCATTTTCCATTCGCTTGCGGGCACGTGATGCTGCCTCGGGGCTGCCAAAACGGAGGACGGCTGTGCCATGGGACAATCCCAGCACCTTGCCACCACAGTTGTCTGAGAGGCGACGGAGCCTGAGCTTCACAGCGTTCCACAGGCTCTTGTCACAGTTGACAGGAAGGTTGTGCACATAGAGCAGGTTGTAACTGGGCTGAAGGAGGGGAGGAAAAGACAGCGGACCCGTCTGGATTTGTAAGGTTTAAACTTAAATGTTGCTGTTGTCCTCGTGAGTAGAACGAAACGGACGACTGTTGAGCGGCTCATAATGGGACAAGGTGTAAATCGAGGCTCAGTTTTAGAAAAGAAATGTCCTCTTTTGAGTCTACACCATGAGTCACCTCTGATTGAGGCCATCGCTTACCTTTTTCAATACCAAATACCTGTCATTCAAAACAGCACATTTTTAATGCCTACCTGCGTTTTGAGAGGCATGCGCGGAGGCAGGTCAGCTGTGATCTCTTGAAAAGACACATGAACGTGGGCGTGCTGCAGCAGCGCCTGGGATGTATGGTTTCCATGGACCAGGATTACCTGGAAACCATGGCGATGGCGCAGGTCGCTCAACTCACTTGCAAAGTTTACATCAGCTGTTGAAATTAAGAGATAACTGTTGGTGAAATGAAGCCTTATGAATGTTTACTGAGAATGTGACCAGCACGCACATGATACAAGGACAACAGTTGCCGGTGCAGTGTGAGTCTCAGCAAAGCGCCGTAAGCTCTGGCGGAGCTTGTCATCAGCAGCATTCTTAGCTGTGGCATTGATGTGTGCCACAGTAACCTGACGAAGAAAAGTGCATTCTCATGGTGTCCTTCGAATCAAGCAGTGTTTTCAATGGTGATTTATGATATGTTACCTGGCAGTTGTTGAGCTCTTGGATAACTGCTTTATTCTCCTTACTGATATCACACACACACATGAACTCTGCCTCACGGTGGCCCTGGAAAAAACGGCTGCGTATACGCTGCACCACCTCTCCAGCAGATCTTCCACTCGGCACACTGCAGTTCTCTATGTCCCAAAACACTCCAACTGGGGGGTTGTTCTCTGTACCACCATTTTCTGGTGAACCTGCCCAAGAGATAAGACGTGCCTCAAACAAAAAAGATCTCTTACAGGAATGCCATGCATTGCTCTTCAGTCAAAACCTGGAGAGAGATTTACAAAGTGTTTCAATATTGTGAAGTTAACACCATTCACTGTTCATTTTGCTGAGTGTTTTATCCGCTCTTAAAACATACTCTGTGAAAACAAGCAACGTAGGATGACCGTGCAGTGATTTTTTTTTTGATAATAATGTCACATATCACCTGTTTGAAGAATATCAAAGTTTTATAATCTGTTTTAAGTGATGCTTCAGTCGCCTGTGGATTGCAGTGCAATGCAATCCACCAATTTATGTACATACATGGATGTATAGATCACTCACAGCTGTGATGTTTTTTTTTTCTACAAGTTTGCCATGCCTTGAGGAATTAAAGATTTTAAAATCAGGGGGTGATCAAACTTTTTCCTGAGAACCACATGCAAAAAAACCCCAAAAAACAACCCCCCCCCCCACTAAAATTATTTGACTTTAATTTATAAAAAATGCTAAATACAATTGTATATTGCTTATACATTGCTGGTTGCTTTGAAAAACTACTACATCAGAGGTTTCTATTAAAGTTGACAACGCTAAAGGTTTAAGATTTTGGGGCAGCCAGGCAGCCCTGCATCACACTAGAATAGAGCCACCGGCGCACTGAACAGCAGGCGCATCCTCTCTCGACATTCAGAACTAAAGCAAGAGCAATTTGTAGTAAACTGAGCAGTTTTAATTAGTACATGCTGGAGGAAGAAGTGGGTTCAGGGGGAAAAAAAAGCACTTACCATCCATCACAACAATCTTTTCAACATTGTTAACTGGGATTCCATTTTACAGTTGATGACTGATTGCTATGTTTGTCAGTTTGTGTCACTGATGAGTTTTCCATGCATGGGAAAACAAGTGCGGTCTGAACAATTTGCTGTGAACGCCAATGTTTGTCTTGAATCATGAACCGCTGACTACACTTTTGCATTCTTAAAAACAAATCACTGTGAAGATTACAGACAAAGGACAAGTGAATTTAAAAAAATACATTCAGTTTTCACTTATGATGCATGAATTCAAAAGTGCACTAACCATACTTCTGGCCAGTTTTCCCCTGACTGAGCGCCGCATTATCAGATGAGGTGCCACAGCCGTTACAAACGGGAATAGAGATTGGAGCTGTTTGGGAAACTGGAATATTGGGCCACACCTTTTCTGACTTGGACACAAAACCATTCATGGGCTGCAAATAGATGTAAACACACACACACGTCAGGAAATACGAGACTCCCCAATAAAAAAAAAACACATCTAGGTTACCTTAAGTAATGTTCAAGAAATAACCAATGTGGAACATCACCAACCTTAAACAAGCAATCCTGGCAGTAGTGCACCCCCTTCATAGAAACTGTTTGCTCAACATTTAGGTGCATAGGATTAGAGTAGAGAAGTGCTGACGTGGATGTGGTGTTGATGGGGGTACTAGCAGGGTGATCACAGAGTGCTGCACTTGTCTGGGTTCTTCTGACCATGGGACTGCAGTCCATACCACAGATATAATGGTCAGAAGAGGCTAGGCAAGAGCCATGCAGAGGAGCGTGACTAGCAGAAATGGGTGGGAGTGAAGAAGCCAAAAGGGGGTGAGGTGGGAAGGAGGCTGGCTTGACTGGAAGAGCTTCAACTGGGTGGGTGTTAAGAAGCCCTTGGCAACAATGAATGTGGGGCTGTGCTGAGATGGGCTGGGAGGTGGTGACAGAAGAGAGCTTCCGAGGTGTGCAGCCACAACTGAGCAGCGGATCACAAGCATCATCTTTAGGTCCACAGCTCTTCCCGTGTTTGTACTGAATAAAAGGTGAGGCTACAGAGCAAGGCCCAGATCTGCCAGTGTCACTGCTGCTGTAGATGGGTGTTGTCAATGAATCAGAAGCTGCATAGTGTGGGACAACACTAGCTATGCTACAACCAGCAACACCTCCACCATCTAATAATCCATAGCCCTCGGTGATGCAGTAATCACAGTAGGCGCATGCGCTTACTTTGGGGCTAGGCCCCTCTTGCTGCTGCTGCAGTGGAGGCTGTTGTTGATGGCGGTCTTGTGTAAGCTGGGGAGGAAGCAAACGAGAAGGAGCCAAAGGGAGAGGTGGTAAAGGGAAGAGCGGGGATGGTTTGGAGTATGAAGCATGGTGCATAGGGGGAGGAGGAACATCCTTCAATTCCAGCACTGTTTTCTTGCTGTCCATGTCATTGCCCTAGCAGGGAGGACAACAGTACATTTACATACATTTATGCAGTACTTTGGCAAAGCTGAGGGTTTCTGACTTGAGTAACATTGTATTACAATCCGAAATAATAAAATAAGAATACATTCGTAAAAAACGGTCCTACCTTCTGGACTTCTGAATTGTGCACAAGTAGGTAACTACATGCTGTATACCTTTTTATTCGTTTCAGGAGGGACAAGTGTATCATCGGTCGTAAAGCAGTCTTTAACTTTCCAGAGAAGAGTCGAGGCTTCTTTTTTAGGATGTCCGATCCACGGGGAGGTTTTTGGGCTGCATACGGATCTCTCCTTACCCAGTCCTTCCATCGTCCAACCTCGAGAGGTCTCTCACCACACCTGGATCTCCCTCCTCTCTCATGCTTTCGTTATAAAAGAATCGAAAGTAGGCGAGTTGTTGTACAAGTCCATTGATTGCACAATTGCGACGACAATTTAAGACTGGATAATCTGCAGTATCGTGCATATAGCACTTTTAGTAGATCACGTGGACGGTCGCTGGCGCCAATCGTGTTTATCAACTTAGTAAATACGTTGTTTGCACCTAAGTTAGCAAAGTAAATTGCGCTTGTCCTTGTGCATTTACTAGATATTTTACAATTAGCTAACGTAAACGACGAAGCCCAGCAACACGTCACGTACAGTTTTATCGTTTACCTGGCGAAGCAACGGCTTCGTTTGAGCTAACGATGGCTAGCTTCGTTATCGGCTATCACACAGCTTGGAGCGCTTCCCGTTTCATGTTGTATTCATAATGGCACGACCGTAACGACCATTCGGCAACAGCGGTGTCCATGTGAATACCTGATAAGGTTTCGTTTGTCACATCTTTCTCAGGTAGATTACACCATTCCTGCCAGCTTCCAAATCGAAAACCCGCACCTTTTTGTAACCGACCTCTGCCAAAAAGCGCTCCCAACCGTCGCAAATTCGTTCACAAACACCTTTAGATACAAACGTTAACGACAGACAGACATACAGACATACAGACAGACAGACAGGGAGGCAGGCAGGCAGGCAGGCAGGCAGACAGACGGACAGGCGAACAGACAGACAGGCAGGCACATAGATAGATAGATAGATAGATAGATCGATAGATGTAATATATTCTTTTAATTCTTTCAAATCAATTAAACAACTTCGATTGATTTCATTGATCACGTTTTTTTTGTTGGGGGGGGGGGATATATTATTAAATAATAGGCAAAAGTGTCTCAAACCATCACTTACCACAGCTACACTGCACACTTTATGGCCAACCTTTATTAAAATGGATATGCTCCTCTTCCTTCACTTCATCTTTGGCATACTGCAATTTTTGTTTGTTTGTTTGTTTGTTTTTTACTTGATATAGTTTTGGGGATGTTTTCATTTTAAATCACGCAATCTTGGGTGTAAATTATAAGTAGGCTACATTTCAGCAGATGCTGTAACTCAGGGGTCAGCAATGTGGGGTCTGCAGGTAACAGGTAGCCCCCAAGGACCACATGAGAAGCCCGCGGGCCGATTAAAAAATAGTCCACTGGTGATGGGGCATTGTGATTTTCTATGAATGGTGTATAAATTATCATTTGAAAATGGAAACAATGGCGGGATTCGTAGAAATAAAGTTTTGCATATTGGTATTTATGTTTCCCGATTCCTTTGAGAAATCATTCACATGATCAATGTCTTTACATAAATTAATATCATTAATCCTAAATAATATGTAGAAATGTCACTAACACATTATTTAAGAATTGATAATCCTATCATCGTTAGTTGGGTAATCGACCTGCCCCGTTTCAAGACAAAAATATTTGTCAACCAATTTTCGTGTTTGATGTCACACGTTTTTAGCTCTAGCCCTGTCAATAATAATAATAAAATAATAATAATAATAATAATAATACATTATCTGATCTGGTTCATCCTTACAAGGGTCACAGCCGTGCTGGAGTCTATCCCAGCTGTCTTTGGGGTACACCCTGAACTAATTGCCCGCAAATCTTTGGGTACACGTTGAAAAACAAACTTAAACACTCACAATCACACCTAGCGATTATTTAGAGGGAGCAAATAATTTAGCAAGCATTATTTGTGGAACGTGGGAGGAACCCAGAGTACCCGGAGAAAACCACACAGGTACAGGGAGAACATCCAAATGCCACACAGGAAGGCCGGGGCTAGGAATCGAACCCATGACCTTTGTGCTCTGAGGCGGACGTGCCAACCAGTCGATACCATGCCGCTCAGTGGTAATGGTGATGATGATGATGATGATGATAGTAAGAATAAGGTTTAGAATAATAAGAATTTGGTGTTGGGGGGCCCGGTAGTCCAGTGGTTAGCACGTCGACTTCGCAGTGCAGAGGTACCGGGTTCAATTCCAGCTGCGGCCTCCCTGTGTGGGGTTTGCATGTTCTCCCCGGGCCTGCGTGGGTTTTCTCCGGGTACTCCGATTTCCTCCCACATTCCAAAAACATGCATGGTAGGCTGATTGAACACTCTAAGTTGTCCCTAGGTGTGAATGTGAGCGTGGATGGTTGTTCGTCTCTGTGTGCCCTACGATTGGCTGGCAACCGATTCAGGGTGTCCCCCGCCTACTGCCCGAAGACAGCTGGGATAGGCTCCAGCACCCCCCGCGACCCTAGTGAGGATCAAGCGGTTCGGAAGATGAATGAATGAATGAATGAATTTGGTGTTGTAATAAATAAATAGCAACCGGTTCAGGGTGTCCCCCGCCTACTGCCCGAAGACAGCTGGGATAGACTCCAGCAACCCCGGACCCTAGTGAGGATAAAGTGGTTCGGAAAATGAATGAATGAATAAATAAATAATATTCAAGTTAATTTGAGCACATTTGTTGTTTCAGAATTAATTCAAATAGGTAGCCGTTTCTCGCTAATCAGCAACTAAGTGGCTTTCAGCTTCAAAAAGGTTGGTGACCCCTGCTCTAAATAGTATTAAAATCTAGACGTCAGCTGGTGATCATAGCGCTCCTGGTGTCTGTGGTGTGGGTGCGACAATAGCGGGACAGCAGGTTCAACCGTCATCCCACCGGTGAATGGAGATGCGTGAACAATAGCGGCTCAGAGTTCGATGCCTTATTGGTTTATTTCGTCTCAACTCAGACACATTATTTAAACTATAGCTACTTTTTTTCATCCAATTATTACCGTCTTTGTGCGCCATGGCGATTGCCCACGTAGCAACAGAATACGTTTTTTCGGACTTTTTGTTGAAGGACCCCACGGATGCAAAATACAAAGGAATGCGACTGGAGCTGGCCGCGGACAAAATAGTGACGTTCATGGCTGTGGGACTACCTTTGTTTCTCATCTCGCTCGCGTTTGCTCAGGAGGTTTCCGTGGGTAAGCTCTTCTGAAAACGCGTGCGTGTCTTTGGAATACAGCGTTGTAGTGGAAATTGGATAAATAACGGTGTTAACTTGTATCACATATCCTGCTATCTGTAAGGGTTGTTATGCAAGCTCTTGGTTTTCCTGTGCTCTAGACAAGTAGGCTGCAAAACAGAATGAGCTGCAAACATGTCAAAACGGGGGGCACCCTCCCATCTGGTACTCATGTTTCTCAAAAGCCGAATGTGTATGACTCATGACAATTAAGTATTGTATAACATAACCATATTGGCAACATGTTTATATTTGTTTTACACTTTAACCCCTCCCAAGAAGAAAAAATAGTATAAGAGGGGCCACACCCCGCTGCTTGGGGAGTCGCTCCTTAACAGATATGGAAATGGTGTTTCTTTCAAATTAAATTAAACAAAAAAATATATCATCGAAGCATATTGCATTGCGTATAGCAATACAAAATACAGCATTTGCGTGTCTTTATAGAGGTTTGAATGAAATGCTAGTGTGACGTAATGCTCCACCCTTTTCCTTAAATCACGCCCAGACGGTTGTAGGACGCGCTTCAGCTGCAGCTTGTCCCAGTCCCAGTCTAGAAGTCGAGAAGTATATCACGTCGATCGTAAAAATAAGCCATACATTTCCACACCTCCATGAACTGTTCAGCCGCACTCTTTTTGTAATGCCCACAACGTGCATTGCCAAACTGAGCAGATTAGAACATAATCTAAGCAGCATCGCCTTGCTGCTTCATTCCACATTTTCTCATGAATTCGTCATTATGGGTCTGTCTGGCCTGTATAATTAATTACTTGTCAATCCTATTTCTTCATTTTACCAAGACATTTTGACAAATGTATGGTTATTGTATTCCCGCTTTGTGGGGCAAGACCTATTTTTGCTGCCACGCTTCATCAAAGCCGGTCGATAATGAATTTGGTATGGGAAAAATTGAGAACCCTGACCTCAGTCTCACCATACTTGGTCAGTTTTTCTCACTGAATGGACACAATTTCCCACAGACACATGCCATCATCTTTTATAATGTCTTCCTAGAAGATTGCAAGATCCAAAGTGGAGACCAACTCCATAATTTTAATGGTAAGGTGAGGCAATAATTTTTTTATATTTTATTTGTGTGTGTGCCCAGAAGTCATGGCAATGTGGCTAGGAACAGCAATTACCATAGCTTGTGTATTTCAGTTACCAAGTCAGCATAGTTTTGTATGTACTAGGGTTGATGTTCTCACATTTTTCCTTGTAGGAGTGCAGTTTTATTTTGTGTTGCATAAACCAAGGTCTCATCAGATACTGTAGTTACATTGATTTGTACCATCCATCTATCTTGTATATTGCTTTCCTGTTCAGGGTCACAGAAAAGCTGGAATCCATACCAGCTGATTTGAGGCAGGGCCTGCCCTGGACTCACACGGCTGACACTACATAGTGACAGACAGCTACCGTAATCACCCTCACATTCACGCCAACTGACTATTGAACGTATTGAAATGAAGTAACATGCATGATTTTTTTTCATACTCTTATAGGAAGATAGTACCTTTCATTAGTCTGAAGTAATGTGATGGCTCATTTGCAAACAACATATCAGGCTGCTGGTATAGTTGCTTTCTGGGTCATCTTCCGAAAAAAAATCTCCTTCCATACTAGAGTTGGTGTTTGAATTGCTAAACCGATTAAAATACATGAACCTCTAATGCGAACCAGTACATGAGTTTTGTCACTAATTTTGCCTTTGCAAGGATAGCAGTGCTCGATAGTATCAAAGAGAAAATAATTTAACAACATGTCTAATGATCGGAAAGATTTTAGTAGTATTGAACTGCACTGCTTTATACTGCGAGCTGTTTCTCATTTTGATTACCTTATACGGGGGAAAAAAATAGCCACTTTCAGTATGCGACAATCCAGTTCAACACCATTGCACAGCACAATAATAAATATATTTATAAATCAACCACTTAGTATCAGCTGGATGTATAAAGGGAATGTTTTAATGTATGTATTCAACTTTCTTATTCTGTGCTTCTTCAGGTACACAAATCAGCTGCTTTGCTCCCACTAACTTCTCTTGGAGACAAGCAGCGTATGTGGATTCCTTTTGCTGGGCAGCAGTACAACAACAAGATGACGGTTCACCATTATGGCTTCACAAGGTACAGTACCTGTCTTCTACACAACATTCACAACAGGAAGGGGAATCATCATTGCTGCACCTGTTAATGCCACAGCTATTAGAGGATGTCAATCTTTTGTGATGGTATAAAAATGCTCATGATTACCTCTACTTGAGGACATGCAAAATCCAGAATTATTCCATCATGACGCTGAAAAGTTAAGTATTATGCTCTCTGTCTTTATTTGTGTAGTTCTTTCCATATATCCTGCTCTCGCTGGCCATCCTTGTATACATCCCTGCGCTTTTCTGGCGCTTCACTGCAGCCCCACATCTGTCCTCGGATCTTAACTTCATAATGGAGGAGCTTGACCGCTTTTATAATCGTGCCATCAAACTGGCAAAGAATTTGGCATCCTTGGATGCTAAGGATAAGGATGTTTCACAGGACACACAGAGGTAAACGACCTAATATTTCCATCTGCACACTGAATTTGAAAAATGTTATACAGTATTCTGTGTGTTTCCATATGGAAACTGATGATTGAATATTGTTGTGTTTTTTATACGGACTGGGGCATGTGCAATTTGATTGTGTTTTTCTGCAATGAGAATAAAACGAAACTTGAACTTGAAATATTAGTCAAGAAAACATTTGCATGCTAGGTATGCCATGCCATGACCAATGGCAATCTGCATGTTTTTTCTCTTTGGTACTATTTTAAATCCATCATTGTTGTGTTGTAGTAGCCTCATCCTACCTTAGCACTAAGGTAGTTCATCTCTCAGGTCTGACTTGAGTTTGCAAACTCCCTTTCTTTTGTTGCTTGGACGGCACTCAGCTAGCTGTTAGTTGGCCGACAGCTATGCAAATACTTCAAAGCGGGCCGCTCAAATGTAAGGCATACAGCGCTTTCACTCATGTGCAATCCCCACGTAGACACGTCAGAGTTAGGGAGACGGGATGTGGTATCCAAATATTCCTGCCTGACTACAATATGACTCTGACTCGAATGGGAAAATTCAGATTCACCATTCATTTCCAACATTTTCTGTCCTGCCAAAACTATTGATCTCAGTCTTCTACCTGAGGTCCTGCCTTCTACGTTTGCCTGAGGCAAAGTGCAAGTCGCTCCTTGTGCTGGTCTGTATGCTCTCTATTACCCATACCATGTCTACTAAACATCTGTTCAGACAAACTACTTTTGCACATGGGACGGGGTGCGTGGGAATGCCCAGGAAATTGGGGGTGCTCCGGGTGGAAGGAATTTGATGTCTTTTTCTATACTTTGTTCTGTGAAGCACTTTGTCTTACATTTTTAAGTGTGAAAGGTGCTACCGGTATGTACATATATAAAGATTGATTGATTGGTTGGTTGATGAATCACTAGTGGTATAGTGGTAGACCTGGTCTGACTTGGGTACAGGCAGCATGAATCTCATGGGCCCTGCGATTGCGACCAGTCCAGCATATACTCCACCTTTCACTTGAAGACAGACAGAATATAGGCTCCAGTTGACCTGTAAATGATAAGCTGTATATAAGCAGTATAGAAAATAGATGACTGGTTGACAGATTTTGGTATTAGAATATACTGTATTGCATGCATTCACCACTGAGAACCATAATTAAAACACTCAGGGATAAGTACTTTATCAAAAAAAAAAAAAAAAATCACTTTGCATCTTGATATGCGCTAGAAGCCACATGTATTTAATTCACTTGTTTACACTGGGAGTGTATGGTTTAAAACAATTTTTTTGTGTGTTCTTTGTAGCAATGCTCTGGAGCTGGCTGAGGGTTGTTTTAAATACCCTTTAGTTGAGCAGTATCTAAAGACCAAGCGGTTCTCTCACCGCCTCGTCATCATGTACTTGGCATGCCGGGGCTTGACTCTACTCATCCTACTGCTCGCCTGCCTCTACCTGGGATACTACATCCGCCTGGCCTCCCTTACGGATGAATTTCCTTGTGACCTGCGCACAGGGGTGCTGACCAATGACAGCAGGGTACCCTCAGCAGTCCAGTGTAAGCTCGTGGCAGTGGGAGTCTTCCGGCTACTCAGCTACATCAACCTCGGGGTATATGTGCTACTCGCCCCAATGGTGGTGTACGCCGCTGTTGGACCTGCACGTCAGAGTTCCAACTTCCTCCGGCCTTATGAGATGCTGCCTGGCTTTGGAGCTTTGGGGGTCATCACTCCCTTCTACAATGACCTCAGCATATATCTGCTCTTTCTACAGGAAAACCTAAGTGAACTGAAATCCTTCAAGTGCCTGCAGGTGAGTCAGTTTGGAACAATAATAACAATTTAAAGTTGAACTCATTTCACACGACAAATTAATAGGTGCTGGAGTTATTGCAAGAAGCCGCTGAGGAGGGCTTTGATACCATGTGCCTACTGCGAACTCTGGGCCAGGTGAAGACAGATGTCTTGGATTGTAAGAAGGCATGCCCTCGAAACAAAGATAAAGAAGTAACATCATAATCCCGTTGAGGTACGCAAGAATATAGTAGCAAAATATATGTACAGTATGAGTCCACATCCTCAAGGTGCAATATATTAACGTATCGCTTTGTACTCCAAGGTAGAGCTCTGTCTACCTCATTAACCAAGTCCTGCTGTGAACAACAACTGACCTGATCTCCACTGGTGGTTTGAAATGTGATGAATTTAAAATACAGTAACTCATACAATGTATTTTCATGTCTTAGAATTACTTGAATTGACTCTACTGCATTCTCATGACATTCTTTTCCATTATTTGTACCTAATTCATTATGAGAAAAAGCCACCAATTACATTTGCAATTGGATTATTACATCATATGCCTCCAGCTGCAGAGTAACCTAGAGGTTAACATGACTGCCTCACATTTCAGAGGTCTGGGGCTTAAAGATCGGTTTTGGCCTCCCTGTCACAAAAGAGCTTTGAAGTACTTATCATCATCTGAACATGCTGGCACGTACATACATTTGGTTGGTTTTCACAAGTTTCTCTTTTTTTTTTAAGTCACTGCACTTAAATGTTGTTTACTGTAATAACACAACTGTTGTATAACACAATCGGTCTTAAAGTGTCCTTTATCTGTTCAGTCTTTCTTGTTTGTTCTAATCTAGACAGTGATGAAGTCAAGATTTTATAGATTTTTTTTTTTCTAAATACATTGTCTTTGGTATTTAATGACACTTATTGCTTTTCTCAAGCATATTGTAAAATGCCTTTTTAGCAGTTGTGAATGTGAGCAATACTTCTGTAACTAACTTTCCTGTAACTTATATGTTGTGTATTTATTTTGTAGCTAAGAGCCCACGGCATTACTTGATTAATGATGTTGATTTCCTTATTTTATATTTGGACAGTGCTATATTCAATCTGAGGAGACAAAAACGGAACATTTGTTACTTGCACTGTAACAACTACAGCCTTGATGGGATGTTAAAAATGATAGATTTCTTAAGACATGTAAAATTCCACTAACAATATGTGCATGTTAAAAAATATACAAACAAATATCCTGGTACAGTATTGGAATTATGGAAATGACATGAGTTAAATGGCCAGTTTATACTGGACACTCAATAAAATTGTTATTCACTGTAATGGCATTTTCATTACCAAATAGACAAGAAAATATATGCTGTCTCGCACGCATTTATTTCACTCCACAACCCTTGAAAGATGACTCCAAACTGTTCGTTATTGCTAGATACACCGATCACTGAATTTTTAGAACCATTCGAATAATAGCGATGTTGATCTCATAAAATATCCCATAGATAGATACTGTATTCCCTTTATACAACACTAGATAGAGCCTGGACAAGGAGAGCGAATAGGAGCGACCTGCAGCGTGGTCGTCAGGTTGAACCGGTAGTCCCGCTGTGGTCCCTCGCCTCAATTTCTCAACTCAACTCAACTCACCTGTATTTATAGAGCACTTTCAAACAGCCATCGCTGCATACAAAGTGCTGTACATGGAGCAATTTAACATATACAACAAACAGTAAAGCAAATCGGTAATAAAGACGGTAGAAAGCACCGAACAGCAAAACCAAGAACAAATCTTAAGTCATGCTGAGTCAAATGCCAAAGAATACAAGTGAGTTTTGAGGCAGGTTTTGAAGATGGGCAGCGAGGAGGCTTGCCGAATGTTCAGTGGGAGGTCATTCCAGAGAGAGGGACCAGCAACAGAAAAGGCTCGATCCCCTCTGAGCCTCAGTTTAGTTCTTGGTACTTCTAATAATGTCTGGTCCGCAGACCTGAGGCGCCGGGCAGGTGTGTAGGGACGGATGAGCTCAGAGAGGTAAGGTGGCGCAAGGTCATTTAGAGATTTGAAAACAAATAAGAGGATCTTGAAAATAACTCTAAAATGTATGGGGAGCCAGTGAAGGGATGCCAGAGTAG